GGCCCGCTGGGGTCTCGGCCCTGTTCAGCCCCCTGCCAGGCAGGGAAGGGGGGTTCAGATCACGCAGGTTGTGAGCTGAGGTACATAACTAAGTAACCTGACCGTTGTGCAAGAGGTCTGTGAGGACCGAAGTCAAATTTCCAGTCACCTGCTGTTACCGTAAGGGGCTGGACAGGAAGCTACTGTTTTCCATTGTCTGTATTTGCTTTTAACATGCTGTTGTAGTGGGGGGAGAGTTTGAGAAGCTGCTTAAGCAGAGAGAATAAAACTTGTCTATTGGAACTGCCATATTGCAAGATCGGTGTTTACAGTGGGAACTCTAAATGAGAATTTTCTCCTTATTGTGTATTTCATATCTCAATCCCAGTACTTCAGTGGTGTGTTTTATTTGAATTTAGCTTCTGCTAGTGAACCGAGCTGTTTTTATGCCTGTACCAAATGGTGCTCCATAATTTTGAGCAGTACTGAATTGTCTCTGTGTCCTTCCTGCTTGCTGACGAGCAGATGGTATTCTTCTATACAGTCCTCTTGCCATGTGTTTATTCCATACTTTCTTGAGACCTGAATGAGTTGTATTTTTCTTGAATCATGTAATGTGGTGGTACTTCGCCATACTAACATTGCCAGAAGCACTTCCTACATGCAGCTTAGAGCATGCAATTCAAGTTCAAAGTAAAATCTTTCTTCCATATGTTTACTGCGGCTCTGATGCCTCTGAACCAGGAAAGCTGGAACTGGCCTCTTCTTGTCCCTACAACTGTCTGGGTTTGAAAGACAGCTGGGAAAGAAATAGAGTAGGAAGCAAAACTGAAAGGAAATTTTTAACCTGAGGAGGTAGGGAAGCAGAGAGAATTGAGGAAATGGTTGGAAAGCATAGAGATGTCAGGGGAGCATTGTCTGTACCAGTGGTAATGACCTCCATTTGTCTTGTGCAGCTGGACTCGAGAAGACTGTGAGGATGTCGTGTTTTCCACCTGTAGGAGATAGTTTCTTGTGTTGTTCTGTAGTACCCTCTTCACTCTGGAATAAGATGTGATACATAAAGGATCTAATTTTTTCCGCACCAGTCTCAATGCAGCGCAAAGCAGTACTAAGACATGTTATAATTTTGCTTTGTGAAAACATATTAGGTGATTAATGTTTCAGGCACAGGACGTTAAACCTTTTTTTATGTCTGTGTGTATATAGTAGCCTTTTTTAAGATACAGCAGTGTGCACATGTACATACTTCAGAAATTGGAGTTCAGGAGTTTTTTGGTACAGAAATTTCTCTAAAATTTTAAAATTGATGCCCATTCTCCTGGACTGTGGAATTAAAGTTATTTTATAGTAATAGCTTGGCAGAAGAGGAAACTAGTAAACATTTTTTGTCTTAACTGGGATTACTTTTATGTGGGATTGGGTTGCAAATAGTTGCAAATATTTTCTGCTCACTCACAAAAGATGAATTCTTTTGAAAAAATACAATTTCTTCTAAAAGAGCTGTGGTAATTTAGCAAGGTGAGTGAGGATCCTGCAAATATTTGAGTTAAAGAACTGAGTTATTGTATCCTTTACAACAGTCTTGAAACAATAGCTTGGCATATGCATGCCTGCTCATGTTTTAAAATGTGACCGTTAATTTTTACAGTATTCTGAGGTATATTGCACACATTTTAGGTGAAGCAGCAGATGCAGAGACGTAATACGACGTGATTTACTTTAGGCCAGAGTGGCAAAAATTAGATTACAGGCAAAGAGTCCATCTTGGAGACTTTTGGGTTTTAGTTATTACTGGATAGTTCCCTTCTTTTAAAAGATTATGAATTTCTGAAATGATGTAATACAGAGGAATATTTTTGTTTGAGAGAAAGGATTCAAGCAGAAAAGCACTGCAGGGCTGTAACAGTGTCTTTGGTTGGTTGTTGGTTTGTTTGTCTTGGGGTTTTTTTTGTTGTGTTGTTTTTTTATTTTATTTCAGAAGGCTGAGACCGAAGAGGAATTTGTTAGAGTTAGAAGGAGGGATTTGGAAAGGCTGACAACTGAGGTTATGCAATTGCGGGATTTCTTACCCAAAATAATAAATGGGGATATCCTGGGGACATTCCAGAAACTGGATGCTCTTGAATCAAGTGAGTAGTATGTTACAAGCTCTTACAGTTTCTGCCAAAACTACTTAGAACAAACTGTCATGCCCCTGCGAATAATTGTATAGTTTGTGGAGGTATTCCAGATTAAACTATCATGTTCAATGACTGCCTTAGTAAATTAATGTGTTTGTAATGAAGAAAATTACAAACTGCATTAGAAATAATTAGACATGTCAAATTAGTCTTCAAAAGTATTTTACTGTGGATAAAAAGATACTTAGTTCAGGCACTAAGGGAAGCTGTATCAGGAAAAAAGTGATTTGCCTTTGAGAAGAGGTGAAAGCATCCTGTTTTTCAAAATGGCATTTTAGATGCACAGCAAAAAACCATGGTAAATGGCTGTCAATAAAAAGTTAAATTTAAAGGAAGAGAGAATATCGATGTATTTAGCCTGTCTTGTTTTTTAGCTTGTATTGCCATAAACATTAATAATAAAAAAAACCCCAACCTTGAAGACTCTCTGTTATAAAAGTCTTTTTACTGCTGTCCCCAAAGTCCAGTTTTTCAGTGTTATGATTCTCTGTGCATTATTTTTTCAACAATTGCATCACTCCCAACGTGCCATCAGAACCAAATCTGAGTCAGCTCCATCCCTAGCCTGTACCTTACAGGCAGCAGTATAATTCACCTGTTCTCCTAGGAATTGGTTTTGTCTGAAAAGACACGGGACAAGTACTGAGACAGACTATAGAGAGCGTATCTCTTTGAGAATATCAAGTGATTAATTGAAAATTAGTTTGCAACAGCTAGCTAAGAAAGAGTAAGATAGAGCCTCAAGGCCTGTCTCTGATACCAGGTAATATACTTGGGCAGAGCTTGCAGCTGCCTCGATGATCCACTCCAGAAAGATTCTTCCATGCCATCGAATCCTAACAGAGATGAGAAGACTGTACCATCTCTCCTGCTGCAAGTCGAGACGTCATCCGTGTCACAAGAAGTGACGTAGGATCTGGAAATGTTCTCTTTGTGCTATTGCAAGGCATCAAGGACTGTTTCCAGTTGCATTAAGTGTTTAAGATCCTATCCTCAACTAGGCAGATCCTTGCTTTACCTACTTTTATCAGTGCTCAGTCTCAAGATCTCTCTCGCTGATCCTTCTTGCGCTCCTTGTGCCAGGCATCAAGGAGACACTGTCAGGGCCTTCCAGCAGCAGGTTTGTGGCATCAACATGGGGATTTTAAGACTTCCTTTCAAATGTTCTGCTGTCTGGCCAGCATTCTCTGGGTCCTTTGGAGGAGTACCTGAAGCTGAGTCAGCCTTTGAATGCACTTGAGTATATCCCTGCAGTGGAGATTTCTCTTGCATTTAATGAGGTTGTTTAAATATTTATTCAGGCTCTTGCCATTGTTTGCCCCTACAGCTGGACAAGTCAAGTGGTGATTTTTTGCTGCTCCAATCTGCTCCTACCTCTGCAGCATGCAATAAGGCAGCCTGAAAGGAGGCTTTGGAGCATGCAGTTCACAAAGGGTTGGACATCACAGGGACACAAGCAGTCTTCACTCTCAGAATAGTGAGCTCTTTGGTGCTGTTTACTAAATACAGTCTCTTGGTGTTGGCACATGAAACTTACAGGAGCCCTGGCAGCTACTGGAGATGTCTTTTTCATGTTGTTCTTACAGAAGCCTAATGGATGATTTTTACATCTCTCTGTGCTTCCATCAGATGTTGCAGTTTTCTAAGTATTGTAATCCTGAAGAGGTTAGCAGGTTCTCATGCTCCTCAAGGAGACCTTTGCATGTTTCACTTGTATATACAGGTCAATAGGATACCCATTTACTATGGGAGCATCCCATAGGTGGTATCAGATCTGAGCTGACAATGGTCAATGCAGCCAACACCTACTTTTTGGGCTGGTGTCAGGGTCTTCACTAAGGCTTTTGCCAGGGTAATTGTTCATTTTAAAAAGAAAGGTCCATTTTGTTCTTACTACCTTCCTCAGAGAGAGTATTTGGCTCCAGGAATCTTAGAAAAATAGCTCCAGCAAATTTTCTGAATTATTATGCATATGTTTAGTGAAACTCAGTCCACCAGGGAAATGTTAAAAATTGCATTTAACATTGATCTAGCATTTGGATCAGTAGAATTGGAATTCCATCACTTGTTGGCATTCATTGTAATTGTACTTGGTTTTCCACCTCCCAGAGCTTTGAAATTAGATCTCTAGTCCATAAAATCTCCTGATGTGACCTATAGCATGGATGAGAATGAGTCCACCTCACGTCTCGTCTTGTTTTGTTGTGTCCAATGCCTTGTTCTGCTGTTGAGTCTGCTGTCTATCTCGGGGGCAAATGCCACTTCTTCCCAGAGTCTGATTTACCACTGCAGTAGTAAAGTTATGCATTTTCAGTTTGTGTAAGGATGCCATTTCACATTTTTTTGCTCATCCAAGTTGATAGTGAAAGCTGCTTGTTCACTTGGTGAAGGTAGACAGTCTGAGCCTCAAGATTTTAGTATCAAGAGGGGAGGAACTTTCTTACCAGGGGCTGGGTCTTGGAGCCAGTAAGAAAAACTGTTGGGTTTCCCTGTGTGCTGCTCAGGACCACGGTGTGCAGGAGTGAGCAGCGCAGCTGCAGTCTTCGGTGTCAGTAAAATGTCTGCTGCTCATTCTGCTGCTGTGTGTCAAGAGGCTGTCAAGTGTCAGGACTGGTGCATGCAACCTTGAATTCTCTTCAGAGCAAAGGCATGCACAGCTGGGAGAGCTGACTGGGCATAACGGGGAGTTTCCACAAACAAGGCACAGCTAGAAGTAGGTCTCTTTTCAGCAGCTTCTGATCTTTACCCGCCCCCCGACGTAAAACATTATGATACCTTAGAGGAGGTTGACGCATCCTTCTTTTATCTGGAGGACTTAAAAAAATACAGGTAGCATTGTATTAACACTCAGTAGTTAATATTATTCCCCTTCTCCTGGCTCTGATTTGGTTCCAGGACCGTTGAAGGATGTGGCATCTATGTGTGTCTGCTGGCTGTGCTGATGCTGGGTTCAGGGTGGATCCATCCTCTCAAAAGCTGGAAGTGATTCTTCTCATTCAGGAGAGCTTGTTTCCTTGCAGTGAGAGAGATTTTCACTGGCTGTACTTACCTGGCAGGGATAAACAGGTTTTTGGTCTGCTATTGATAAGCAGAGCATGCCCTACTCGTGCTCAAGATGTCTTGCTGTCAAGTGCTTAAGACTCACACCCACACAGTAATAGGTGCATGGGGCTGAATTTTCTTGACTTGACGGAAGGAAAGAAACTTTCCTGCCACTGACCAGAGTTATTCCTCAAAAACTCAATGAATCCTTTCCCCCCTTCATTCTTTTCCTTTCCCCCCTTCATTCTTTTCCTTTCCCCCCTTCATTCTTTTCCTTTGGATTGTAGGTTGAAAAGAATTGTATCCTCAGAGAGCATGCCTTGCACATGTATATTTTCTAGGAGTGGACCTTTGCCTTGCCTCTTTGGTTTCTGTTAAAAAGTCTTAGTGTTGATGGCTTAGAATCATGCAAGGGCTGAGTGGAAATACGTTACACCTCTTTAGAAAAGCTGTTTGGGGCTAGATTATCTTTTATATGTGCTACTCAAAGCAATGTGTGTATATTTGAGATGATAACATTTTGTCAATTAGGAACAAAAAAGAAAGGAATTTATTTCCAATAATGTGGAATTACTAAATAAAATGCCAGAATCCAAGCTCTTTGGGTAATAAGGACTGGGTTTGGTTTTTTTAATGATGTTATCTTTTTATGGTTAAATTTGATATGCTCTCTGGTAAATACATTCAAAAATATTGACCACATGTAAGGGGAAGTATTTGAAGTGTGTTAAGCTGTAAACCATACTCTCATGACCAAGGGTATGGTGCTCGAAGTGGGGTGTAACTTGTTTTTTAAGCTAACCAAAATTACAGCAGATGCTATTCGGACATTACTTTTTGGAATTACTTAAATGTGTTTCCTGTTTTCAGTATAAATACTAAGCATCCAGAACTGTGTTTTTTTTAAAGTTAAACACAATACACAATTGTTAAAAATACCCTTCAAAGTGAATTTTTTAAAACAGGTATCATGATTGTGAAATACAATACTTTAAACTTGATTTCCATTCACTAAAATAAAGCCTCTAAATTGGAATGTATTTCTGATAGCATCAGAGATTAATTTTTTAAGGGAATCGTAAAATTTGCTTGCACTGACATAATGCTTAATTAGTTTATAATGTCTTAGAGTGCTTTATAAACATGAATTTAAAATGTTTGGAGTAGTAGCATTTTGTTCTTACTATGCATATAATTTGTAGATTGTATATTGAGACACTTACTTTTGACTGATCTTGGTATTATTTTTCTTAGATTTTCACCATGCTCCCTGAATTTCAAAGATACCAGACATGAAAACCATCATGAAAACAAACAAACAAACACAAGTAGAAAACTGAGTAAATTTTTAAATTTCCCTAAAGAGCTGGAGCTCAGTTTCAGAATGGTATCTCATCAGCACACAGTATTTAACAGCTAGATGTGATTCTTTCCATCTTTCCCTGTCTTAAATCAGAAACATCATGTTCATTTAATTTCCTGTAAGAACTGTTGAAATGTGGCAAATTGCGATATACCAGTTTAGCCACGAGGAGGTGATGTAACACAAGCAAATAGTTAAAGCACCTCATTAAAGTTGCACTTGGTGGATTCTTTTTTCTTTAGTGCAAGCCTGTTTGTCATGACTTATTACTTCGTTTATCTGATTTATCCTATGACAGTCATGGAGAAAAAGGAGGAGGAAATAGAGCAGCTGAAAATGGATTGTGAACACTTCAGAGCCCGTCTGGAAACAGCCCAGGCAGATTGCATGAGAGAGAAGAAGGTAGATTTGCTGTCAGAATATTGCTATCTGTATGCTTGGGTTTTAATAACAAAAGCAGTAATGATCAGTTTTTCATGTTCATGTCACAAAATACATCCTCAGCCTGAAGAATCTGGGTTTTCTTTTTGTGTAGTCAGATGATGAGTAAATTACTTACCTATAAGTTCATAACTGATGGTTTTTTTTCACGGTGATATTTTTAGACAAAAGGGTCAGTATTATAACTAGACAAAATATAATATGATGCAATACCAAAAAGTATTCAGTGTGTACAAATAGAGGTACCAACTGACAGCCAGTCTCCCACTTAGGTACATAATTCTTACATAACTGCATAGATCTCTCAACTTCCATACTGTGTAAGGTGCAGTTGTATGGGGTTGCATTATGAGCTTCTTGGCAGGTTTCATTTTGGTGTATGTAAAGTTCAAAGTCAACCATTAGCATTTTGTTTATATTAACATCTTGAAGTAAAACATTGGGTATTTGGGAAGGTTGTGGTGTAGCTGGCATCAAAAGGTCCTTCGCAGAATCAGTTCTTTTGAATTTAATGTAACTATAATGTATTTTCAAAGAGGGCAATAGAAGATAATGTAAGCAACGTACAAAATGAAACCAGCCTCTCTTTTTGGCTTGCTGTAAGCTGTGTACCTTTGTTTAGTTTTAACAGTCTCTCTCAATGCACCTATTGATCCAATTGCCATGTACAGCTGTGAGTCAAAGAACAATTACAGGGCTCCTTTTGCTCTGTCAATATTGTATTTAGTGATTATGAGAGGGGAGATCCTTAACAATGAAGGAATAGCAATGACTGTGACTTCTCAGACTGTGGGTCTTCTGTGAAGCCATTGTGGTTCAAACAGGATCATACAGACTAGCAGCTTAATTTCTGAGAGGTGTGAGAATCAGTTGTGATTATTTGCTGCAAAGGTTTGCTTCCTTGGAGCTGATAGCTATCCTCAGTAGTCAGCAGAAGCTCACTTTGTTGGGGTTCTTGAGTTAACATCTGCCAGCCTTGGGATTGCACAAAGAGAGATGAGTCTACAGAAGTTATTTCATTTTTGAAAAGGAATAAATGAAGAGTTCAGACACGCAGTTTTAGGGCACATCTGTGTGGACAAGTCATTCCGGAATGAAGTTTGGTATGAATGTAAAGTATCATGGAATAGTTGTCTGTCTGGATATTCTTTATTTCAAAATAAGTATTTTCTGGGATAGCTATTGCAGTTCAGCGATAGCTACATGGTTAGTTTTGCTGTGCTCCCAGGTCTTTAGTTGTATAAGCATCCAGGATGAAATGTCTGTAAGATTTAATGTTGCTGCTTTAGATATTAATTCTAAGTTAATATAGATATAAATTCCACCCTTTATTCTTGTTAATATTACAAAATAAATGACAGGTTTAGGTTTGCAATTTCTTTTGGATGAAAGTTTTACTTAAAGCATGGATAGTTTACTAAGACTAGTTGTTGTCTTGGTGTTCCTGATCAAAGCTCTTCTCTTCATATCTTTCCTCTTGTGCAGTATACACTGGTTGTCTAAATGGCTTCTGGTATATGACACAAAGGTCTATTTGTCCAAGTGAATTGTGCTTATGTACGTTGTGACATCCTTTAGCTCTTCAGGGTAAAAGAAGATGGTGTATGTATATGCGTGATTTTTGTTCCTGTTAGTCACTTTGCATGCTGTTTTTCATTTGGTTGCTGTTCTGCTATAGGCATCCTTGCATATAGTTTCTGAATTATTTTCTACATATTTATCTTCTGAAGGAAAAGGAAATGATTCACTGAAACATAAAATAAATGCATTTTCTAGTTGAGCAGTGTCCTTTTCTTAGGGGATCATAAATCAACATTTTGCATTCCAAAATTTCTGTGCAACGCTGTATGACTGGTTAGGGGATTGCTGAGCTTTCCGATCCTGGGCAAAACTTGAAGTGCACATGCTATTCTAAGAGGCTAATGTCTTCTTTGTCTGTCTTTTCATAGTTATGTACTTAAGCACTGCTATATTCTTGTGCCTTGACCCTTTCCTGAAGATGGTGGTGTTGCATAGCACAGTGATTGCTTTGTGATGTGAACTCTCAGGAGTGTTGCTTCCAGCTAGGTTGTTTGCTTTTGCAGGTTCAGTTTATTTTCCTGGCTCTTGAATGTACTATTTTGTTTTCCTTGCTTCGTATCTTTGTTCTGATGTTGCTTTTGATCTATTAAAAATTCTGGCATTTCTTGTGCCGGCTTTGCATCCTTGTTGGAGGATCTAGCTTCGGTATTAGAGTGTTTTATGTCTTACTATTCAGTATTAGCATCCAAATGCAAAATGCAAAGAAAATATATTAAAAGATACATTTTCCTAAGACAAGGACAGCGTGGAAAAGGACAGGGACAATATAGGGGTTAGGAAGATGCCTGTGGGCATTTTGTTGATGCACATGGTGGCAGAAAAGCTGATAGGTCTGGCACTGAGTTATGTAAAAGATAAAATCTGGCTAACTTGCCTAAAAATGATCAAAGTATTAAGAAACAAGAGACTTTTCCTGGGACTTCTATGCCTAGCGAATCAGCAGCAAGTGTCAGTCTTTTGCATGTATTAAACTATAAGGTAGAAGAGACTCCAGAGAGTAAATATGCACAGAAATCTGCTTGATAAATTTAACTTGAACTTTACAAATCCTAGCCTGTGTGTGCCATTAGCAGCATGATAAAGCAATGCAAATCAGGCTGTCAGGTGTGATACAGGAAGGTAGGTAGGTAATTGATGATGGAGAACAAGCAGCTTTGTACTGGTTGATATGATATTATATAAATTTTCAGATGAATTTACAATTCTATTCTTTCCAAACCCTCAACACAAAACATTGAGGTGAACCCCTAAAATGACAAGATACTTACTTTAAAATTTTATGGGAATACATGGTTGAAGTTTTGTTCTATTTACTTGCTTTCAAAATTAACGTAGAAAAGATTCCTTCTCATTTCCCCATACTTCATCCTGATAGCTAAACACACAGGGGAGGCTGGGCTGAGGAGGGTGCTTTCTGTGGTGAATCTGAACATTCCACCAAATAGGCAGAGCAAGATCCTTCTGTTCTTTTGACATCGTGTGATCTGTGATTCTCTCCCCTGTGCAACGCCCCCCCCAACACTTTTTAATACTTGAGTTAACATTTTTCTTGACTGGCCTTTATCTTTCCCTGCAGCACTGTCTAATACCATCCCACTCAGAGTTAGGAGGGAGCCCCCACCCACTCTGAGAGACCACAGGCTGTGGTACCCCTGCCTTGATCTCACTGTTCACACTCGCTCTAAGCTGAGAAGTGCAGCAGCTTCGCTACCCCTGTGACAGTTGGTAGGAAGCCAGTAAGACCTAGAATCATACCTAATCTCGTGATACTTTTCTGGCCAACTTCCCATGTGATTGGAGAAAAGTACTGCCAAATTGAAATAGTGTCCTGGTCGTATTGGATTGCTCTGTTCTGTCTTTATGCTTTGTGGCAAGGACCACTGAGCAGCTCACTTAGATGATGGATGCACGATGGTGCCTGGGCTTTCTTGGTATGAAAGGCCCTCCAAACTTCAAACCTTAGGTGTGTTTTTCCAGGCACTCTGTCTTACTTTGCCACTGCTGATCAGGAATATGCCAGTAGAAAAAAGTTGGAAGAGACAGCAGTATTTATCCTAGATATCCAGCAACTCTACCATGTTGGCTAAGGCAAAGTCTGTTTTGAAAAACAAAACAACCCTCCCTTCCTATAAGGTGTTTCCAGTATCTCTTGTAAGGTGTCTGGAAAGGTTGACCTCTGATGCTGAAATCTCTTCTCTCTTGAAGAGACGTGTAGCTGTTTGCTTAGGAGGAGCAGACTCTCCTATCAGACTTCTTTAGGTGCCACTCAGTCTCGGTGGGTCACTCGGTCTGACCTTGCGGACAGGCTTCTGGTTACTGTCAGCCTCCACGGCGGACTTGCTACTTAGCTATAGCTCAGGAGAGAAGGTATGTATCTGCAACTGCTATGAGTTTGCCGCACCCCTCTCCCCCTTTCATATATGGCCATGTTGTTTCTTGTTCTGTCCCTTAGCCTAGAAGCTTGTTTTGGCTGATATGAAATGCAACCAAAATTTCCTTACGCTATTTCAGGAGAAACTAGACCTCCGCCAGCAGCTGAATGAGGCCAAGCAGCAGCTCCTGCAGCAAGCAGAGTATTGCACAGAAATGGGTGCAGCGGTGTGCACCTTGTTGTGGGGTGTATCTAGCAATGAGGAAGCTGTTAAAACCATTCTAGGAGGAGTAAGTACGGCAGGTGAATACTTATCGGTGGTAATGCTGTTAGGCCTTTTAAATGAGGAACTTGCTCTGTCACACACTTTAGTATAAGGATATATTTCAGAAACTAATTGGACAGCAAAAATGTTTTCTGAATTGTTTATTCTTTGGGAACCATCCATTCTCATTTAAGAAGTGTTGGAACTATACAGTGTTTTGAAGCAGGCTGGGAATAAATGCAGTAATTAATTCTTATGTTACCAAACAAGGATTATCTGATTTCTACCACACACAGTCAAACTGGAAGCAAGGCTACAGCTAGCACAATGTAAATATCTTTGCAAGCTAACAGAAGAAGAAAATAATTCCTGGGCACATGCAGCAGCTCCAATGCCTGTAGAGAGCTTGGAGGAGCTATTTCCATAGAAGGAAGATAGATCCATCAATTCTCAACTTCTTTCAATCTTTGTGCTGCCTTAATACTTGCGTGACTCTTGGAAATGTAGAGAGCCTAGCTGCTAGTGAATCTTATTAAATCTTCAATGTTAAACATGGACAGGTAGCTTATTTTGAAAAAAACCAAACAAACAAAAAAAAAAAACCCAAACCCAAACCAACAACAGTTAAAGACAGTAGTAATATTACAACTAACATAGTTTCACTGCCAAGTGCAGCTGATGGAATTAGAAGGGATCAGAGGAATAGGCCTGATAAAAGTATGATTTTCAGTCTTGTCACAGCCAACATGAGAAGGAATTGTTGTATTTAATCTGAGTGAACTGATGCCACGGTTTCTTCTGGCTTGATTTTTCAGCAGCATGATGAACAGCTGAGTGAATAGAATTAGTTCATTATAGTAAGTGGTAAACTAGTGTGTTTGTAAGAAGTTTTCCAGTTTGGGTGCACCGAAATACAATTATAACTTTATATTGAATATTAGAAAGCTGTACAGTGATACCTTTTGATGATAACTTCTTATGATTCAGGATTCAAGCAGCAGCAGTTACTAAGGAAAAAAGTCTGTAAAAACACTGTATAAAGCAGTTAAAATTAAAAAAAAAAAAAAAGGCAGGTGGGCACTACAAAGCCCCCACATAGCAACAAAACCAGTATAAAATTACATTCTGTATTTTCAGAACAGTTTGTAACTATAAGAGTTGACAATATTTAGTGACTAGCCTTTGTTATTTGACTTGTGAAACAGTATTGAAATGGTATGTTGCCCACAAACAAAATGCTCTCAGTGATGAAAATGACCATATTTCTACAAGATGAGAGTAAAATTAGTAGAAGCCTTGTTGAAAGCAGTCTTAAGTATCAAAATTAAGTAGAATTAGGTAAAACCAAAACTGTTACCTGATGATTTGTATAAGGGTAAAAAGCCCAACTATGAAGATGCAATACTTCTGTTTCTAGATTTGTTTGAAATGCAAAATGCTGCTTCTATAGTAATTCCCAGCAGTCATGAGAGCCCATTGAACTGCTATACTTCTGGTGAAGGTCATAGCAACATTTTTGGGCATCATTTTCTTGTGATGGTGCACATAAGACGGTAAGAAATGTGCTTCGGTTTGTATCAAGACTACTAGGAAAAACATAAACAGATTGTATGGCATTGCATCAACCACAGATTACAACTGGCAATGAGTCAGGTTATTAAAGGATGATGGAGATTTGTCATACAAAGTTTTTGGTTTGCGTTATTTTTGGACAAGTCATACGGCTTGTAGCATCTTCCCTCCCTCCCCTGAGAAGGTGCTATGAACTACAGAAATGTATAAAAACATCAAGAGTGCTTTGAAACAGTTGCTCATATTTAAACATGTGGGGAGGGTGGCATCAGTTCAAAATCATTGCATGCCTTAGGGAACAATGCTCAAGCTTTTTTCAGTCTTTGCACAGATACAGAAGTAGGTCTTTCATACAGTTTCATGTTGTTTGGGACTAATATACCGTTTGTGTCCATACGGGTTGGGAAAGTCAAAACTCGAGGAGCAAATTTGAAATGTAACACAAGTAGTTTTCAAGGCAGTGGGGGAGAGATGCCTACTGTTTCTGTTCATGCGTAACGTTTCTAGAGAGAACTTGAAGAAACATCCAGAGAAGCAGCATGAGGGAGAATTTTCAAGGATGCCTACTTGCATGTGCCAAAAAAGTAAATTAATTCCCATGAGATTGTTTTAGATGTCTTTCAAAAAACTGCAACCAGATATCCACATGACGGAGCTCTCGCGTGCAAGTGCAAACTGAAGGTTTGATTTCAGAACAACATCAAGGCTTGCTCCAACTTGAGAAATTTTGGATCCTACAGGGTGGTCTGCTTCTTCAGTTATCTGCTGTGGTGACAAATGGCTTTATATTTTATGGCAGCAGTTTTGCACATTAGCTGATATTTTCACACAGGAGTTATTTGGACAGCAAAGGGTTCTCTGCACTATCTGAGCTCAAGCACCTTAATGGCTGCTCTCAGAGCTGTCCTTATCTCAATGTCTGTGGGTGAGACATTCTTCAGTCCCATGAAAATACTGTCAAGCTAATAAGAGACTACAGAGAGTACGTAATGTTTGCTATTTATAAACCTGATTGGTCTCTGCTGCAGCTCCTCAGACCTCATGGCTAGTTAATTAATAGCTATTTGAATTAATATCTATTTGAAAAGAATGTTGAGCAGGGAGGACACCAGCGGCACCTCAAGAGACTGGCACACAATATTTTGCTTGTTTTCTGTGCAGCATACCAACTACTTGGTTTGCTTAGTGCCCTATTATGTTCTCATGTGAATACATATTTTCATAATAGCTTATACTAGTCTGCTATAGCAGGCTCTCCATTTTCTCTCAGGCCCTCTGCTTCTTGAGCTATAGTCACTGCATAACATAATGTTAAAACTGCCATCTTTGAGGTGTGGTGTCTATATTCCAGCACATGCAGAAGTGCACTTTTTTCCATTCTCTTTCCCCACGATCCTTTCATTCCTGTTATTCTGGGACCACAGTACCATTTGTGAAGATACTGAGTATTGTCTGACCCTGCTTTTTATGCCCTGTTGCTGGAGTCACCCCACAGGAACTGTACATCTTTGATGTGGTGAATGTGCAGCAGTGGAGGAACAAATAAATGTTACCAGTAGCTTTCCACATATTGTGAAAGCAGTTTTGAAAAACTACTAAAATTTTCAGTCACTTTGCAAAATGAATAAAAGCTCAGGCATTTCTTGGGCTGTCCCATTGGGTTGCTACCAGGAAAGACTAAAAGTTTCAGCTGCTTCATGAAACAACTGGCAAAATTATTGAAGACACCCGGAAACCTGGCATTACATGCTCTCTGCTATGCTATTACCATCATCCTCTGTGTGAAATAGTGTTCCAGCCATGTTTTATGGGTCAGAATTATTAATAAACAGAAACAGTTTTCTGTCCGTCTTTGTGGGCTCTGTCTGAACCCCTGAGCAGGCTCTTTGGCCTGCCCTGAGCTTTGTACCAGGTGGCTACTTCCTCAGCTGAGATACCCCAAAATGGAACAGTATTCCAGCTGAGGGGATATGATTGTGTAACATAATTACGGGCTGTACTCCTGTTGTACGCTCAGGCGTGATGATCATCTTTTTCACATGACGTTGCTGACTTAAATTCAACCTGTGACCCAGGACAGACCTCCATTTCCTTTTTTAAAGAACTTCTACCTAGCCTGTTGTTTGTCATCCTGTATTGAGCAATTAATGAATCCTGTTAGGATCTGGTCAAATTCTGCTTTTTTTTCTGGGTATTTCATTGGTTTTCTTAGGAAATTCATGTCAAGTCATGATGTCAGGGTGCTCTCCAGTCTTCAGCTGAATAGGGTTTTGACAAAAGCTGCTGTAGTAACCCAGGTAAATGTGAAACACCTGGTACAGCTATTGCAAAGCAAAGAGATAACATCCTTACTTTTGAAAATAAGCTTTAATTCTGCTGTTTGATATATATTATTGTGGGTTTAGGAGGTAAATACGCAATGGTTTAGATTTATAAATAAATGTAGCATTGAGTAGTTTCCCATTTTCTTCTGAGGTAATTGTTTCGAATATTAGAGGGTCAAACGTGTCGCTTCGTGCATACCTACTATTTTCTGTTGTTTTTTGAAGTAACTGGGTGTTTTAGTAATTTTGAAGATTGTCCAGTTTTACTGTAGCATCTAATAATTATAGTTCTAATAGTGTGCATAATCTTTTTTCCCCTTCGTGCTTGCAGACTAAAGCAGTAAAGTTTTTCACAATCACTGCACAGACCATGGAGAGCTTTGTGAAGTCATTAAGTGAAGACATGAAACAGCAGGATTTGGATTCTGATGAAAATCAGTTTGTATTAGCTTTGGCAGGGATCGTAACAAGTAAGTGAATGTTATCTCTCGGAATAGCATTCCATGTGTACTGGGAATTTCTATATTGCCTTATATGTGCTGCGGTAAATACAGCTTTTCAAAGTCAGGTATTTAGTCAATGTTGATATCTTAGGTGACTTCCTAGTCCTTTGAAGTTCTATCAGATTTTCTTATTGACACTTCTGTGAGGCATTGTACTGTCTGTAACACAGTTAAGGATTAGACAGGTAAGAGCCATTGAGTTCTGAAATTCCCTAATATGTCCGTTCAATCTGGCATAAAACAAGGACCATTCTACTGGTCTTGTATGCTGACCTTAGTTTGTAAATGTTAAGCAATTTACTTTCTGAATCACCAATAATGCTAACATCTTCAAGACATATGAATTGCAGATGATGCAAGTAGATTAGCCCCATGTTAAGGTATGTGCTCAGCATTTTGGAACTGCCTAAGAACTTTGTTGCTGCCAGATGGACCCCACTGTCCTGAGTCCATAGTGCTAAGAGAAGTAAAAGGTAATAAACCTGACTTCCATGCTAAACGTTTCTTTTTAGGGTCAGAAAATAAGCGGAAAGCCACAGATCTATCTTGGTATAGCTGCCCTTGGCTTGGAAGGCTGTGAGAAACATGGTTGATACATCATCTGCATTTTTCTGAAATTGTGCAGCTGTCAAAATGACACTAATGACATGATGCAAGATAGGTGAAACAGTGGGTATTTATACAAATAAGTGACTCTTACATTAAGAGCTTTTTTGAATGTGTGATTTTTAGGTGTTGTGGTGCCATTAAAGATTGTAATAAAAAACAATGTGATGCATTATGCCACTGTACCAAGGTGGAATCCAGTTCTCTCCAACTGCTTCATTGAAAAAAACCAAAAAAAGCATAGCAAAAGTAAAGTCTGAACAAAGAAAATGTTTAAAGGTGGGGGATGTTGGGGTTCTGCCTGAGGAGGAATGAGAATGGCAGAATGAAATCTTGCTTCACTGAAGCTGGTACAAATTTCGCCAGTGAATTTGATATTACCAACATTTGTCTCTTTGTAATTTGGGAAAGGAGGTTGCTGAAACTCAGATGTGATAAAGGATACAGTCAGATGAACGATGTAGAAAGTACCAGTTTAATCCTCCTGGTTACACTGTAAAGTAGTATTATGCTACAAAGAGGTATTAAAGGAACACTGAGGAGGTGGTCATGAAGTGTCAAGTATTCAGAAGTTAGAAGACACCAGAACAGAAGTTCTCAGTGTAGTCTTGACGCAGCCCAGTGTGCACAAACACTGTGACAACAGTCTTTAATTATATGCTGTGTCCGTATTACCTCTGCTTATTCTGAGGTTAAAAAAGGCATCATGATGTACGTGAACAGGAGAGAGAACCCGAGGCTGCGTGAAAGTGGAAGAGCTGTATCATGCAGCAGATCCCCAAACTTGCCCTGAATGGGAGGCCAGGGAACCAGGTTCTGTCACTAGTTACATACACCGTGCTTCACGCGTTTGGAGGAGGCTTGGCCAGTTGCACAGTACGAAGAAGCTCAGGTTGCTGGAAGATACCTCTTGCACATAAGGATGCCCTAAAATATGGGGCAAGCGTAAGAGAAAATACTAAAGGAAAGTCTGTTTTGGAGCAGTAGTCTCTGGAAATACTTTTGCCTTTTGGTTTGTGCGTGAATAATGCAGCACTTGCAGAGAGGTAGGAAAAGAGCTTTTGAGTAGATGTCCACGAGAGTTTTGTTTGTGTAATGTGCCAGGTATGTTGGATTGAGTGATTGTAAAACAATGTGCAATCTAATTTCTTTAAAGTGGGACCTATAATGGTCAGCTTTGCTTCAGTCCCACATTATTTGTGGATGAATCCAACCTTTTGTTTCATAAGTCACTGTGTTACTGTTAGGATACTGGCCACTCTGAATAAATATTTTAATTACCAAAATAGAATTATCAAGAAGTTTGGCCAGTATAATTTGCTGCTTCAGTATTTGCTGTGTAGATGAATGTAGTTTGAAGTTTATATAGATGCCATAGTTCATTCTTAACAGCTGACATATCTTTGTAGTGGTCCTGGTAACTAGCATAAACTTTTGTTTGAAACATGATTTTTATGGTGATGTTTTGTGTTCTCTTACAGATGTGGCTGCACTGGCATGTGGGCGTGAGTTCTTGGTTAGTTCAAGTCGTGAATTGTTGGACACAATGATGCACCTCCTGGGAGACATGAAGCCGGGACTCTGTACCAAATTTAAAGTGTATGATGACCTTTTTTTTGTTTTGTTTTGTTTCCATTTCAAATGAAATGTGTTATCTTGCAGCGTAGGTCACAGCAATGACAGTAGTTTCCCCAGTCTCCCATTATTTCCTTTTCTGGAGAGGAAAAATAATTTTTGGAAACTCTTTTCACAGTAGCATTCCTTACAGATATACCAGGCTTGGCTACAAGGCTAGCTTCATCCAGGTTTTGTGTCTCTTCGGATGTCTCTTAAGCACCATAATGTTGTAGAGATGAGCAGGGATGCACTGTTCTACCTTATGAGGAGCTCGTGAGTTGAGCGTCAGGTAAGGAAGATAGGAGGTCAAGTTTTAAAACAGAGAGGATGTGGGAAACGTGGACTCATATTTATTCCCTTCCAATATGAAGACTGTAAAATGCTACATCTGCTTAGTGAAGAAAGTGAGTTATGTGTCTGCTAAGAGCAAAAATTAAATTAGTTCCTGCTACTTAGTAGTCAGAAGCACCATGCACTTCTGTTTGTAAAAGGTAATGCCTATAAAGGGACCTTGTGATAGACTGTTGTAAAGAAAAGGCCATGTTACACAGTTCAGATGCTGGAAAAGTTGTACTTTCCAGCTGATGGAGAGATTAAATAAACTATTGTCTTTGCCTTTTTCTCAGTGCTGTTACAAGCTGAGGAAATATGGCCTTGACCGAGCAAATTATCATGGCTTAACAAGTACTTGTTCATCTACTAAGCTGTGGGCACTTGCACTGTACACCTAGTTAATTTGTTCATGAAGATGGCTTAAACTAGTGTGGTGGTTTTTTTCATAAATGGGACACGGACACACACACGAAGAATTCATACCCAAGCCAGCTGACACAGCTCAGCTGACAAACAGCAAACCCTGTCAGCCACAGTAACTTGACTGCATCCATGCACACATTTAGGCAGGTAGTATGTGATAGGCATGAAATCAGGCTCAGTCTTAACTTTGGATAGGTTTTATCTTGCCTGACCTCAGCTATCAGAAAGCTAGATGTCAAGTATCTGCTAACTGTCTGGGCTCCTTCCCACAGCCAGTAGAAGGAGATGGTGCTGTCAGATGACTGCTCGCTCAGCCCGTGTTAGGGGGAGCAAATTGCCCTCTGATGTTGCTTGTCTTTCGCCATTGGGTAGTGAGGGGGAAGCTGAATAGCCTGTGCTCTAGGTAGTGGTTAGATACTTCAATGTCTGTCATTTACTGTGTTTCCCAAGTGTTGTGCTTGAAGGTCAGCACTCAGAACAGGGTAGTTAACTCTTGCAGCAGTAGGGGTTTTGTTTGGGTTTGGTTTTTTTTTTTGGTAAAGCCCCAACTAAAAGATTCATATGAGAATGTCACCTTAAGAAAGTAAAGGTAATTTGTGCCTTCATGTATATAACAAAAAAACCCCCCATCAAACCCATGAGAAGAGGACCTATACTGTTTCAAAACACATACAGAAAAAAAAATAACAAGAGAGGACTTTATTTTGGGAGGAGAGGAGGGGAGGGGAAAGTGTTCCTAAACACACACACACACACACTCTCTAAATTTCAAGCAAATGTGTGTCTAAGGGTACAGATAAGTTATTTTTGATCATTTCAGATTGTATTAATGTAATTGGACAATGTAATTGGATTTGAGGGCCTTCCTTTTGAATTGATGTTTTGGGTGGTTTTTTAATTACATTTCAAAATCTGCCTGCTTTGCAGAAGAATTACGCATGGTGATATAAACTTGGCTGCCATACAGCAATACTGATAAAATATACATAAAACAATCCCATGAAGTGGCTGGGGATTCAACAGGGGCCAGCCTCTTAGGCTAACAAATTGAGTGAAGCTTAAAAAAGAGGTTGCACAAGGTATTTGATAAGTGAGAAACATTAAGCATATGTTGCAATAGCTTGAATTCAGTGCAGTGATAATGTCTTCTGATGTTCCACAGAACCAACAATTTCTTTTCTTACTCTGGACTTGCCATTTGATAAAAAAAAAATTGCTGTATTACGACATTAGAGCAAATACCAGAAAGGAGCTTTCTTCGTGGCTTTGGCATGGAACAAGGGATCCTAATTTGCCTAAATGTTTTAGTGCAAAACGTTTGTCTTTCATGGCTGTGGTCAGGTTCCTTTTTGTCTATGAGCTCCCTATATGTCTTGTCACTGTTCAGTTCTTAAAACCCACTACTAACGCTAGATCTCTTTCCTGTCCTTTTGGGGATTTTACGCTCTCCCAGCCCAGCAAAGAAGGGTTTTGGGGGTTGGTTGGTTTGTTTGTTTTTAAATTGTTCTCTGCATGTAAGGCTTTTTAGCTGCTTGTTAATCTTAAATAATGAATATAAGTAGATGTGTCAGAACTCGCTTTTCTCCCTACCATAAAATGAATGACAATTGTGAGATAAGGATATGATAGTTAATATAAATTGTAGTGAAATTTCAAAGTTACGTATAGATGGACTCTGGAGTCATCATAAATAATGTTTACACACACGCATTCATATACATACATACAGCCAGATTTTTAAAACTATACCTCATGGATGAAAATATCTGTACATTATTTTGGAAACGCAATGTGTTCTTCTCAAAACATCACCATGGTATTACATGGAAGGACATCATCAACTTAAAATTTAGTCTGTTAAAGAAAAAATTTGGCTTATTATTTTCAAGAATATGTTTGTCCTTTGCTCAGTTTTGAGGTTTTGCAGTTTTCATTTTCAAAAATATTTTTCTTTACTGTGTGGCAAATCAGGGGAAACTGAGTCTAATTCTATACACAGCAGTATCAAACAAAGTAAGCTGATAGAGAGGAGTTCTCTTTCCTCTTCTAGTTCTAGCAATCCTGTGCTTTACTTGTACCAGTATATAAATAAAAAATTTACAGGGAAAAGCGGTCATTTATTCCAGCACTGCTACAATATCCATTGTAGTCCATGAGTATGTATTAAATATATCCAAGGCATCTACATGAGGGCTGGGACTGAAATCTCGTGGGTGTCTTTGCCTTTCTGAAATAGCAGTGGTGTGAAAGACTTCAGGTTTTCTTCTTATTGTTACAGGGTTTGTTCAACATTTGTAATTGTTAGGCAGTCAATAAACATTTACACAATTGTTCATAGCTACAATTAATTGTTAGGAATATTCAACTTCGCTTATGTAGCAGTTGAAAGTAGCCAGTAAAAATGTACTTTAGTACATATTAGTACATATTATGTACCAATGCTATGTATTAAGCAGATGAGAAGGGGGTTTAGCCATGCTTTTAGCTCTAGATTTTAAAGAAAGCATTGACAGATATAGTACTACAAGATGTTAATTAAATCTGGCTTGCCTAAATAGGAAGACTATGAAGTGCATAATTAAAAAGCCCTTCACATTAAAAAAAACCCAGAAAGTATTGTTTATCCAGTAATTATGTGTGTCAGGTTTGCTTCAATAAGGACTTTTGCAATAATTATCACAAAAAATACTTATTAGAATGTGCAAGTATTAGAGGTGAAGGTGGTAAAAAGGCCTGGAAATGCTTCTATGTTGTGCTCAGGTGAGTGTGTTTAATTAGTAATAATATGCTACTACATTGGCTTGGGGGGTGGGTTATGTCTTCTTCTGACACTCCAAAACTACAGCACTTCCCTGGATCACCACCACCAGTCCCTTTTGTCTGCACAAAGCAAACAAGTGAAGTAAAAATACAAACATAGCAGTATCTTTTTACGTCACTTTATTTCTAACTGCAAATGTCAAACAGATTAAGGATGAAAGACATTGTCAAGAAATGTTAACGCTTTCCATTATAAGATACTGTTTTATTGATCGTTTTCATTCTGGCTGATTGTAGGTAATTACGGCTGTGCTCCTTTGGGCTTGGGTTCTGGAAGCCAAGTAAGAGCTGCAGAGGCTGTATGAAAAGAAGTGTATGGGCTTTACGTGCTGCAATTTCAGTTCCACAGCACCCCTCACTGCTTGTCCATGGCCACTGATGCAGCAGATTTAATGATCTACTATTTCTTCTTCCTACTGCTTAAGAGCCTAGGTGATCAAACTCACAGTGGTGCAGCACATAATATAAGTTATGCCTCTTACAATTCAGCTTAGCCTGCAATGGGTTAGTTTCTTTCCTGCTTTCTGAAGGTCTGCACAGAGAGTGTCCAAAAGTCTGCTGGTGGCAGAGTAGCTTAAGCCATGAGAACTCGTTTGAGACTAGGATGTGAGGTGTGAAGTCCATTTGGAATAACATTATTTGCCTTTTATTTGGAAATGGTGGCAGTGCAGTGACATGCAGGTTTATTGCAGTCGTGAGAGATAGCAGCAGCCAAGCTGGCCCCAGAACGGAGGAGACCATTCCAGCCCGTTCCTGTTTCTCTGTAATTGTTTTGCATGCAAGCCGGCACCCAGTTGCGAGTGGGTATGATGACATGCTCCATAAATGTTATAGGAGCCCTGCTCATTCATCTTCCCTTTTCATTGTCCGGAAGATTGACTTGCGTGTTATCATCTTTGAAAAGAAATAAAATAAAAAGTAATAGCATCCATCACAGCACATTGTAAAGTGCACTAATGCCCTGTCCCCCCAGCTACTCCGCAGCTGTAAAGATGATCTGCATAAAAGGCAGGCCAGGAGAACATCGCTAGAAGGGTGAAAGAATTTGTTAGACAACTTCTGACTCCAGAGTACGGCTCTCTTTTCAGGAACGTCAGGGGCCTCTTGGCTTGGAGTTCATAGTACAGCAGTGATCTGATTCTGAAAGAGGCTGAGCATTAGTGTCTTGTTAATGTCACTGGGGATTTTTTTCTGGATCCTTTCTGCTTTTGAGTATCAGGTCCCATTCCTACCAGAAGTTAGAGGGGAATTGAAATAATTTGCATTAAGCCCACTGAGACTCTGCTTAGCTAAAAAAGAAGGTTTTATCCACCAAAACCATAAAAAACTTGTATCAGCAATGCAGAAGGTGGCATAACAACATCAAATGTTTGGAAGCAGAACTTAGTTCAGCAGAAACTGCAGGAGGAGATTTAATCCCAACGAAATGCTCTGCATTGAATATTAGCAATTGTTCTAGATAGCTTTGGAAAGGGAGACTCCTTTTAAGCCCCAGGTTACCATACTTGTCTAACAGTCAAAAGCAGCTAAAAGTAAATTTTGACCCAGGCACCTTATCTGCATAAAGAGGCAAAGCTGCCATTTCTGTATGCAGTTTCCTGTACCTTACAACACTACGTCAACTCTGGTGTGGCTAAGGCTGAGGGAGTACCAGTAGCCAAACGCCCTTTCCCTGATGGGTTTCCGATTTTGCAAGTTACTGATCATACTGAAGCTTTTCATGTTTCCAGTAATTTCAGTGTGAGCCGCCATGGGAGAAGCCGGTGGGATCAGCAGGCTAGAGCAGTCCTTTTAAAATGCAGGGCCTTCACCAGCCTATCTGGTTTTCTCTCTGGAGAAAAGTTGAGACTTTGGTTTAATTTATAACCTGTGATGTATGCAGCCCCAAAATGACTAATGAACTTCCTATTTTAGGAGGCTGATAAATTAGGAAATCCTGGGTTTGGAAGCTTTTAAAAATGTGGCTGAAATGAACATATACTTACTATGTGTATTTTTATTTTGTTGTTTACACACTGATGTGCAAGGGACAGTCTTGGTTTTGGTTTGTCAGAGATGTCATCTTAGGGTTTGGTTTTTTTTTTTTTTCAATGCTCAGTTAAGGAAATGTTTTTTAGCTGCCAGGTCATAGATCTTCTCTGTTACATGGAAGACAGGATATGGGTTCTGTCCTCCTTTGACATCAATGACCATAATAAAAGACCAAAAGAAATCACCTTCTGGGGGGGAGGGGAAGGGCTTTGAGTGGGCCCAAACGTTAGTTGGAAACAGTTTTGAAGAGTTGCGGGTGAGAGTACTGTTTGGCCTTTGTTATCCTGTTGTTGATCTACACTAAAACAAGAGCAGAGTTTACAGACTGTAAATTCCGTTGTTACTGACTTTAAAAAAAAAAAAAATTCCATTTGTACATTGAACATAAGCAATCTGGATTCCTGACGCAGAGTAAATAGGAAAGTCCATGATGACTTTTTGAGACAAGCAGTCGTTTTTTTCACAGCAAGTTCTCACTTGATGGTGCAGATCATATGGCCCTGCCTGACTGCGAGGGGCTGGAGAGCAGGCAGAGCAAGCTGGTTCCCTGCCTTGTACCCATAGCAGAAGGGACGAGTCTAGCTTAGGAGGGAGTGTGCTAAGATGAACTGGGACTACTAATACCCTCCTTTTCCCTCCTTCAGGCCCAACCCCTTCTTCCAAATGCTTCTGTAGGCGTGGTAACTTCCCCTACCAGTGGAGAGAGACTACCTTGGTGTTTGCTGTATGCTGGCTACGTATTGCATCTGTTCCAATTTCCAGGAGAACAGGAGGTTATGTGAAGGAGGATGGCATAAGCAATGTGTCTGTGTTTCAGCTGACTGGAGGGTCAGTGTACAGAAAGGCCGGTGTTGCACAACAGATGGAGCAGAAACTTCCTTTGATGTTTCTAGTACTGAGTATACAGACTTACTTTCTGTGTTTCCTAGTGGCCCTTTCATATGTCAAGGCAAACAGCTTATTTGAGATGATCATCTGCCCAGTAGGGATCGTCACCACGAAAGCTCTGTTGTGTAGGTTGTGTGGTCACATAAAGCCAAGTCCTGGTTTTGCACATCTCGTGTAATGAATCTCATGGAGTTTGAGACTTTCTTGTTCTCGCATGGGATATTTTTCCATGTGTTTGAAATACATGATTTAACAGTAGAGACAAGGTTTTGCACAACATTGCTTTGAGACTTGTCTCTTTTATCAAAATATAAATTATTAGAGTAGGCTTCTGCATCAGTACATGCTTGGCATAAATAGCAAAAGGTGCAAAAACATGCAAAGAAGTCAAAGGACATCACATCTATTCTTTTTCCGTTTGATTCTAGGCTAATGCTAATGTCACTTTACAATGTGAGTATCAACTTGAAAGGCTTGAAGTACATCAGTGAAAGTCCAGGTTTTACTCCTTTGCTTTGGTGGCTATTGAATGGTAAGTTGCTCTAAGAACCTTGGAAATTGTGACTTTGGGGATTGTAGGTTGACAATATGTGTTGCAAATAACAAACGAGAAATTTATATGTGTAACCTGATTATGTATAGCTTTTGTCAGATTAAAAGTAAACAGAAAAGGCAAACAGCTAGAGGGAGATGCGCACTTCCCACAACATTTTTGGCACTGTATGTGGTATTCCATTAATATAAAATTTATGGATGGTAGAATTAAAAATAGGGAATGGAGAAATTTGATGAAGTGGATTTAAAAAAGCCACCTGTATTTTCACACGCCAACTTTAAAATAAACCCTGAGGGGAAACTATGTATCAGTTCACTACCACTTAACAAAAGAAAATGTAACTGTGTTCTGACACACTTTGGGGAGAGAAGCCAACCTCTGTAACTACACTCACCAGTGACAAAAGTGACCCTTTCTACAGCTGAAGAGAGGCCTTGTGCTCTAATAGGATTTGGGCTTGCAGGGCTTGAGTACTATTCCCAGCTTTGCCTTTGGCCAATGCAGGACTTCAAGGACATCAGGGACTTCTGTTGCTGCTGTCAGGTACATGAGTGACAGCAAGGCTCTGTTCTTTCGGAGGCTTCAAATCCCTGCGCAGGAGCCAGCAGAGATTGACGTTGCCAATGTGCGTTGGACTTGGTTGGCAGTTGTGTGCACAGCTTGTAAGGGACAGTGAGGACAGCAGTAAGGGCAGAGCCGTGATACTGTCCTGCCTATGAACTGCTCCTAGAGTTGCTCTGTCTTGGCTTTCTCAAGTTTTTGTGGCATGTCCCATGAGAAGATTTTGGTGCGTAGTTCATAGGACTAGAGAGGTTAGTCATCCCGGCACTCTGTGCTGCTATGTGAGACCCTGCTAAAATACAAGTAAATACTAACAGCAACTGAAGTCAGAGAGGTTGCATCTGCTTTTTCAAGGAAATAATTTGATATTGAAGTTTTGTAAAAGCTTTGATTTGGGCTGGTAAACTGGAAGCTACTTGTATTGCTCACAGTTCCCTCAACTATTTTACAGAAAAGTACTCGTGCTTTTCACCAAATAATTTCCTGCTTTGCAACGCCATAGGCTCTCTCTTCTGAGATCTCAGAAAATTAAGTAATCCTTGTAAGTCTGTTGGAAAACACCAGTTTTATAGGGTTTTTTTAATATAGTTTGAGAAAAATTGTATTCTCGGAGAACACTGAATACATGGTCCTTTGTTCTGCTGTGCTTAGAAGTTAACATATGTTAGTCCAGATTTTCCTTCTACTTTGTTTGGCTAATATATACATAAGCTGTTGTTCTAGCAAAAAAAAAAAATCCTCAAAACCCCTGTCTAACTATGCATTCCTAATGTGCCCTTCTAAATGTTGGGATAAAACAAAGACGCTAATCGTTTGATGCAGTCTGTTGTTTGAAGAAGGTTCCTAGGTCACGTAAGAGGATGAAATGGGACATAGTTATAATTAATTTGCAGCTGGTAATGGAAAGGCTACTCTGCGTTTTGAAAGTGTTGATTGTGTATGGCTGAGTTGTAGAAGGAAGTACAGGCATGGCTAATTCCTTCTCTTTTTGATAATAAAGTTTTCCAGTTACAGCAAAGGAGGAAGATTCTCAGATAAATGACACCTGCTGGTTCAGATTCTGACTTCAGAGGAAGTCTGCTTACTGTCAAGGGAGAAGGCTGACTAGTTTGTGTATCAGATGAGAGGTCAGATCCAAGACCTGATCTTGTTCCCATCATTTTGTATGACATCTCTGTAGTTCTCTCTACATTTAATCTATTTCTTCATGTTTCAACTTGGAAAACTTAGTAGCTTCCTCCCACTCTTCCTCCTCTCCTGTTTCCGTGGCCAGCATCTTCAGCTCCTGCTAGCCATGATTCAGCTTATAAACACCTGGAGCTGCTACAGCATAAGGTCTTAACAGTTCTTTCCATGCAAGAGTGTAGAGCACTACACTCTGCTGGCAGGGTATCCTGTATATGCTGCCTTCCTGCAGGAAGCTTCTTCAAAGAGTGTTTTGATTAAGGCTTATGAGATGATTCAGCTTTCCACAGATCTGTAAGCTTTTATCAGCATTCCCACTAAGAGAGGCCCCAGAAATCATCCTCTGACTTTTTTTTTTTTTTTTTCAGAGAATCATCCTGTTTGCTTTTCCATAGTCAATCTACAAGTGCCTGTGACCTCAGCCTATACATCAAGGCCATTTTTCTCCCACTGGCTTGTATGCAGCTGATAAACCCCTCAAATTCCTTCTCTGAATTCTCAGTCTCTGCCCAGTCTTACTGTCCCCTGAAGGAGAGTGTCCTTCCCATTAAGTGAAGAGAGCAAATAATTAACTTGATTTTTCTTTATTCCCCTTTGTTGTATCTGAAGCAAAGAGGGATTTGATTCAGGTTGTCTAGCAGGCATTTTGAAGAGACAGAAATACGGCTTGACATTGAATACATGGATTGGAAGAGAAAGGAGGAAAAATCTAATATAGATTTCTAGTGGAGTAAGAATGTTAACAGCAAACTGGGTTCGTCTGTCCTACTGTCTTTGGAAAATTTGAATGAGCCATATGACTTCACACTTGCTAACGAGCATTCTTAACAGCTCTTTCTGCTGCAGGCTATACTGATAATGGGAGAAAAACAAATGTTTGACATGCTTTTTGAAGGTAATGCAGATCTCTGTAGTTTTAGCACTCTATGAGGTGGGCTATTTTTTCTTTTTTTTCCGCCTTTTTAAACACTGTCTAAAAGATGGGCACCCTTTAATAAGCAACACTGATCACTGAAGAATATACTCTGATAGCTTACGTAGCTGTTGTAGTCTTGCGTAGGTATCGGCTATACCTACCTATAGCTTCCCAGCTTGGTACCAGTGTAAAACACGTGAATGATGACTCAGATTTCTGTCCATGGAGCAGTTTGTAGGATCAGTAGAGTTCTCTTCTTGTGGAGCACCATTTGTTTGCAGAGCAGCTGTTCCCATCTTGGAGAAAATAGGCAGCTTTAGTTTCCTCCATCAGCTGCTGTCTCTGTGCTGATGTCTTGGCTAAGGGTTTCACATAACTTTCAGATTTAAAGAAGCCCTGTCCTCAGCAACAGAAAAAGAAGTTATATAATTTTGGGTAGAAACACACCTGAGATTTGTCAATATTTTTTCTGGTGCTTTACGTCTATAGATGCAATATAAGACTTTTATTCTGTAATTCCCAAAGAGGTAGACTGGGACTTTTCTCTGCCAAGGATCTTTTGAAGAATAAGAAGATGCAGTCAGCTCAGGTATTAATAATAAAGACTAGATTTATGTTTTTCATTTTTGATCATACAGAACATCTACCAGCAAATGGGTGCTGGAGAAAAAGGGTCTAGGCTCTTCTCTGGGTTTTTATGTTGTTGGGTGGGTTTTGAGGTTGGTTTTGTTTTGGGTTTTTTTTTTTTTTTTATTATCCTGTATCTTTATTCTGGTTTTCCCTACTTTTCTTTGAATGTATTCAAAGAAAATTGCTCTCTTTGGATAGATGAGAAAGTGTGAAATTCAGAGAGACTATGTCAGTGACATTTCTGATCTATAGCTGGGAAATTGCTCCAGGTACTTCATTAAACAAAAGACAACAAGAGAAGTCTGACTAATTTTAGATCGTGCCCTCCAGTTTCCTGCACCACAGTTCCACATGGAAATCTAACCTTGTTTATCCAAATTCTTTGCAAATGATGGTCTCTATTATAAATGCCTCTATGAAGCACATTCTCATTTTGCTAATGCTGCCTGCATCCTTCAATATTTGCTTTTCATGACTAACCCTGAAGGTTTCTAATGCCTAGCTTTTCTGTCTGAATTGGTTATGGCTGTGAGAGGTTTTGAAAATTCAGGTTATTTGCATGGCAGCACGTTGTTTAAAAGCCATCTGGACAAACAGAACCCCCCTATTTATAAACTGATGTCTGTATTAAAATAAATTTTGGTTCATAAATCAAAACCTCAGTTACCAGTCTTTCAAGCGCTCAACAGTTTCATACTCTTCAGACTATGAAACTAAGCTTAAAAAGAGGATTACCCTTCTTGCCCTTTAAGACCATATCCATTTTCTTAAGTGCAAAGATGTCAGCTCTGACGCAGAAAGTCCCTGAACCACAGTTAGCTGAGAGGCTGGAAGAGTGGCCGGGGGAAGTCTCACTGAATGCTTGCCCTTTTCCATACTCTTCTCTGAGCAGCTGCTGCAAGCGATACTTGCCCAGATGGAGCTCCGGCTGGGCACGGTGTGGCTGTCCTTGCCATCTGAGCAGGAGTTCCTTGACTAGGTCCTCGCTGTGCCTAACAGCAGACTCATGCAAACTGGCGTTCTCCTGAGGAGCACAGTGTTTCTCCTTTTGAGAATATATGTAAGAAACCTTAGCTCTGGTAAAATGCAGCTGTCACTGTAAAGCATTGGTTTGTTCTTATGTTGTTACTCTCTCGTTCAGTAGCTACTGTGGGAATCCTCAGAAGCCCAAGATAGGATTGATGGGAGCTGGGCAATTAACAGCTCACCCACAAATCTGCCAGCTGCAGAGCGATGTCTGTGCAAGTTCTTTTTCACTTGCAGCCCCTAAGTAGCAGTCAGGCAAATCGGGACCGAATTGCTGCTTCAATCTGGGCCCTGGGAGTCTCTCTCAAGGATTTCCCTGATACAAGCGTGACAGGCATGTGTCTGTAGGAGAATGGGGAATTCTGGTTAGCTGAACTCCATGTGAGAGCAGCCACCTGGCCAGGGAGGAGACTGAAGCAAACCCAGCTGTTATACAGGAGCTTGGGCAAGTATGTTGCAGAGAGAAAGTGCATTTGTGTCTGTAGGAATTGCAGCATTGAAGTTATTTTTTCTGCTATGGTGTTCTCCCTGCTCCTTCCCCACAGTGTCTTTATTGCAACACTATTTGTCTCCTCAGACCTGTCAGCATTATGAAAATGTCTGGAAAACTCTCTACTGCTGCAGATACTGGCTCAGCTCCACCAGCATTGGCAACGCAAAGAGATCTTACATGGGGCAAGCTGTGGCCCTAGCTCTCTCTGTTAGACATGCTATGAACGTAGGTAGTCTGACAAGTTTGTAAAAAGGAAAGGGGGAGTGGCAGGTTGCCCCTTCATGCTAGAATCAGACAGTAATTGAATTGAATGACATTTAGGACAGTGGTGGGAAGCTTTTGAAATACTGCTTTTGTACATAGACATAGCTGTAAACAGCTTGCTTGGTAATAAATCTTGCATTCAGGTGACCAGGGAATGGCATGGGCACGTGTAAATTGAGTTCACACAACTCAGAGCCAATTGTAGATAAGCTATTTAGCATTGATGTAATGCAATTACTTAAACCCTGCTGTAGGGAACAGTTCATCTGAGAGCATGGTGCTAATGACAGATGTGACTACAATCTGTCCACGTTATCAGTTGCTTTTGTCAGTGACTGAAAGCCAGTGACATCAAACGGTAGTGCTGGCAGCTAGCAGAACGTCAGCAAACTCCAGCAGTTTCAACACCTTGTTAAAATTGCATCAGCGTTTTATGATGGTGGTAGGCTTATGCTACGCTTGTGATCCCTGACTGAGGCAAGCAGCTTGA